AAATGTCAATAGGGCCAAAGTAGAAACACCCTGCCTAAATGAATGCCTTAACCTCCCTGGGCTTTGTTTTCTCATCTGTAAAATAGGGCTAATATTAGTATCTACCTTATAGAGCCGTTGTCTAGGTTCAACAAGATAATGTGAACACCTAGTGCCTAATAACAGTAGGTCCTCATGAATACTCCCTATACAAGTCATTATTAGCCTGCCTCTGGAATCCCTCCTGGTTTCATGTTTCTGCTAAGCCCACTCTGTTTGGCTTGCCTCTTGCCAGGCCAGTGCCTCTGATTCCTTCCTTGCTGGTCTCCATGCCTCCCTTCTCTCCTTCTTGACCCCAGCCTTACCAAACGGCCAGAATCCTCTCCCTCAGATCCCATCCCAGCACCAGCTCCTGCCTCCTCTCCCACTTCTCCCAGCCTGCTCCCCCTTCCACACTTTCCCCACCTCACCTCTGGTGGCTGCTCCCTCTGCACAGACTTCCTCCTGGCCCCAGTCTACCCCAACAACTCCCACACCTCCAGCCAAAGTGGCATAAGATAGTGAAGCACATCTTGGATTTGGACCAGGATGCCTGGTCCAAGTCTGAGCTTGACTATTACTTACTCTCCAGTTTTGAGAAAGGGAAATAATCTCCAACCCATGAGGTGGTTTTGTGGACCAAGTTGAGAATGTGGGTAAAAACATACAACTGTAAAGAGCTTAAAAGTGTAAGTTATTCAGTTTGTTGAGTGTTGCACTATATTTTTATTTTCATAGTATTTACCACCTTCCAACAAGCTATAATTTTGCCTTTTATTTATTGACTGTCTCCCTCCACTAGAATGTCAGCTCCATGAGGGTAGAGGAGAGGTTTTTGTATTTTATTCACTGCTGTATCCTTAGTATCTAGAGCAGTGCCTGGCACATAGTAGGTGTTTAATAAATATTTGTTGGATGAGTGAATTAACTACCTATGTATAAGGCACTTCTGTAAAGCCCCTAACTCTTCTTCCTCCAAGAAGCCTCCCTTCAAATGCTTGTAACTCAATCACTGCAGCATCCCCATTTTACAGGTAAGGAAACTTGCCCAGTCACTCACCTGAAAGAGGCAGGGCCAGATATATTTGTTCATTTTAAAACACTGAACACTTCCTGTATGCCATGCACTGGACCTGGTGTTAGGAGCATAGATAACCAAGACTTGGTCCTACCTGTCCCCCACAGCACTTGTGGGGGAAGGGTCATAGAGGGAGGCCCAGGATGCTATGGGAACAGAGGAGGGCCCACCCCCAAACCCTCCAAAATCACTGGTCTTCAAGACAGGTGCCTTTTCACTGCCCAAGCTACCCCTTGGATTCAACCACTATATTCTTTCTTTCTTTCTTTCTTTCTTTCTTTCTTTCTTTCTTTCTTTCTTTCTTTCTTTCTTTCTTTCTTTTTTTTTAAACAGAACATGATTATATTTCAATACAACCAAAAAATAAAACATAACCACTATATTTTTATATTACTCATTAATGCTCCTGTTCCCAGGCTTCTGGAATCCATTTGGAATGCATCCAGTTCAGGGTCCTATGCTGTTCTTTAACCACTGTGCTTGGTTTTGCTTCTCCCTCTATTTTCTCTACCAGTCAGCAGCTCCCTTGAGAGAAAGCATAGTAGCTCAATCCCCATATCTTTTTTTTTCTTTTAATTCTCACTTGAAGATATGCTTATTGATTTGAGAGAGAGGAAAGGAAAGAGAGAGAGAGGTAGAAACACTGATGTGAGAGAGAAACATTGATCCATTGCCTCCCATATGCTCCCTGACCGGGGATTGAACCTGCAGCCTAGGTGTGTGCCCTGGCCAGGAACTGAACCCGCAGCCTTTTGGTACACGGGACAATGCTGCAACCAACTGAGCCACCCGGCCAGGGCTCAATCCCCATGTCTTGATAGCCACTCTGCCCAGATGAGGAAACTGAAGCCCAGATAATTCAGTAGATCTATCATCATACAGCAAGTGAGAGGCAGGACTAGAACCTGGTCTCCACCCAGTCACAACTTCCACCACCCTCATCCCCAGCAGGTTCTGTTCCTCTGGACCCGCTGGCCCCCCCTCTTTCTCCTGCTTCTTCTGAGATTGGGGATCTATGCCCTGGTAGGAGGAGAGCAGACTGATGGCACTTGGTGTCCAGAGTTAGAATTGGATATTTAGGATGAAGGCCCACTTTGAAGTTCAGATTAAGATTGAGGCCATTTTGGTGGTGGTAAGACAGGGAACTCTTCGGAAAGAGCCTATAATGAAATTTGGTGTGAGATTTCCCCCCTCCTTTCTCCTGCCTCTTTCCCTAAAGTTAGGGAGGTCCAGGATAGGAAGAGTTAAGTGTGATTTTGCTTCCCCAGCCAGGAGGAGAAGCGGTCCAGGCTGGACTGGGTGTGGTGTGGGGGGGGCAGGGGCTGCTGAGGCAGTGGGAACAGCAGGAGCCCTGTCCCTCATGTTTCACGAGCTCACCACCCCTTCTCCGCTCCTGGTTTGGAGAACAGAAGAGGGAGAAGCAGAACAAGGCTTTTTGTTTTCTCTGGGAAGCCCTGGAGGAGAGGGCTGCAGGGAGGGGAAGCCATATACTGGGTCCCTCACCTGGATGCATCCTGGATGTTCACCACACTGCCCTCCTAGAGATGGGAACCCGAGCTACTACCTCCCAGGTGCTCCTCTCTGAGCACCGAGAGTCCCTCCCTTAGCCCCACTCCCGCCTTAATACCATTCCAACCCCTTATCCATCTGAGGCCAGCTCCAGAACCTAAGACAGAGGGTCTGTCCAGCTTTGCTTCCCTTGCATATTACAGAAACCCTGATGTCCTGGAGCTGTGGGAGTTAACAACATAATTTAATTTCTCAAGTTCCTCATCAGAAGAAGCTGTGGGAGGCGCAGAGGCAGGGCACCCATGAGTTCCAGATCCCCAGCTCTACCATCTCTTAGAGAAGAGGTGGCTGGTGGGGCCAGGGCCAGAATTAGGGGACAGGAGTGGAAAGACTGATCAAAGGGGTCCTTGGTGAGGCTCTAGAGCCTGCGGTGGGAAGCCTGGGGACCTGGACAATCCTGTTTTGTGAGAGGGCCTGGCCCCTCCCCAGAGCCAGCTGCAAAGCAGGCCTGGCCAGGGAGGGATGTAAAGATAAGTGCAGTGGGGGCTTTGCTGACCCTGCCTCCCACTACCCCTTTCTGGATGCAGCCAGGATGGAGACCTATCATGGGCTATCCAGCTCCCTGCCCTGCTCCCCATTTCAGGCCTCTTTGGGAACCACAAAAATCTGGGCCCTGGTGTCCTGGCAACATGATGAGTGTGCACACAGCTTTGGTATCTGTTTTAAATTATCCATTAAAATAAGTACAATCCTAGGGGGGAAAAATCAGTGTAGTCCTGCAGTTGGCAGGGTGCGGTAAGCAGTAGGAAGGGACTGAAGGGGGGAAAGAACCTAGGCAGCCTCTTTCTCCAATTGCTTGGATTCAAAGGAAAGGGGCAGGGGGTGGAGGGGGCAGTGCCTGGGTCCTATTCTTCGCCTTGGGGGGAGGGGGGTTCTGTGGCTTGTCACTTGGGTCTAAGACCCAATGGTTGGTTTTGGAGGTTAATTGGGGCAGAAAATAGGAAAAGAGGGACCCCAAACTCCTGGTCCCCACCCCAAAACTGAGGGTGTAAAAGGAACTCAGAATCTAGAACTTTGTTCAGCTTTCCCCAACTCCCCCCAGACATTCCTTCTCCGCCCCAGCCTGGCATATTGAGATGCTGCTTTGAATGGACTGCCCACGTGGGGGGGGGGGGGGG